CAGAGGCAGCTGCTGCCTTTGCAGGAAAGCCCAACACCACAGGAGAGTGGCTCACTGAGTGAGCGCACATCCTCTGCCTGAATGAGACACAGAAAAAGTCCACCACAACAGAGGACACACAGAGACACACTAAGTGCAGCCAGTGGAAGCCTCCAGGTGGCTGAAGCCATGACCAAGCAAGAGCCTAGAGGGAGACGGGGAGAGAAGAGAACTTTTTCCAAAATAGCAGAGACAGAGCAGGACTGGGTCTCCCTCTCCCCCAACCTGGGTCCCAGGGGCAGGGGGGCACAGTGGATCAGAGCCGTTCCTCCTTTATAGTTAAGTCAGCACCCAGAAACACCTGGGTGGTGTCAGACAACCAAAGTACACCTGGGCACACATGTGCAATTACATTAGACAACAACCAAGAACACCTGGGTGCGTGTGCATATTTATATCAAATGCTTGGCAAGATTCTGAACATCTGAGGGGCCATGACCATTTACTTTCACTTTCCTGAAAGATTCTATTTTTTTTTTTTTTTTGTCTTTTTTCCATGTCCGGCAACGGATCGCAACCCTCGGTGTTACTCCCATACCTCGCTCAGCCAGTGAGCGGGAACCGGTCTGTATGTGGGATCTGAACCCTCGGCGGGAGCGCTGCCGCGCTTCCCAAGCGGCGCACTAGCGCAGTGCGCCACCGGGCCAGCCCCTGAAAGATTCTATTGACTGAGAGATTCTCTTGTCTGAATCACACCACCAGTGAGAGCCAGGAGGATTTGAACCCATGGCACCTAAGTCACACTGAGCCTTTCTACATAGCCCTGCTGACTCAACGCAGTGGCTAGGTAATGATTGGGACATCTCCTCCATTGTGGGAAAAGGATTATTGAAAACACTCATTTACTGACCCAAATCATTGTTTTTAGACCTAACCCAGAATGAAAAAAAAATAATCCTAAAATAAAAAATCTTTTAAATGTAAGAAACAATCCTCTTTCCTTTGGTTTATATCAGTGATTTCCTACCTTTCAGGGATATATGGACCCCATTGTAATGCCAGATAGTTTCACAGACCCTCCCCCACATGATAATTAACATAGCTAATTCATTAAAATGCGTAGATTCACTTAAAAGCATGACTTAATTCAGAGTAGCTTTTGGCCATATTTCCTCAATTACAACAGTGTCTATATAATTTTTTTTTTCGGTGGCTGGCCAGTATGGGGATCCAAAGCCTTCATCATAGTGTTACAACACCGAGCTCTAACCAGATGAACTAACTAATCAGTGTCTATATACTATTAAACCACAGAAATACATTTATGCTGAGATCTTGTATTTAATGCAGTCTATAGAAAATGTAGGGGCTTCTGGTCAAGATGGTGGAATAGACGGTTGCCAGTGTCACTCTCTCCCACAAATCAACGTATTTACAACTATAAAAACGTAACATAAGCCAAGCTGGGGCCACTGGAGCTCAGGTGAAGAGGAGGAGAGACCTAGGGAGTCCGTGAAGGCAGGAGAAACCACAATGAGAGAAAGAAAAAACTCTCAGCATTTCGGGCTGTGGCCACTTTAATGCTGGAGCGCATGGAGCAGGAGCCTGCAGAAGCCGCAGCTGTGCCCTTTAGATGGAGGTACTTGGGGGTGGCAGGGGAGAAGAGGACTTTGGTGGCCCCCAGGATAGCAAAACCAGATGAACTAACTAATCAGTGTCTATATACTATTAAACCACAGAAATACATTTATGCTAAGATCTTGTATTTAATGCAGTCTATAGAAAATGTAGGGGCTTCTGGTCAAGATGGTGGAATAGACGGTCGCCAGTGTCACTCTCTCCCACAAATCAACGTATTTACAACTATAAAAATGTAACGTAAGCCAAGCTGGGGCCACTGGAGCTCAGGTGAAGAGGAGGAGAGACCTAGGGAGCGAGCGAGGAGCCAGAACAGCTGAAAAAGGGGAGCCATTCAGAGGCCAGTGAGTCATCTCAAGAGACCTACGCAGGGCCCATCCCATGGGAAGTGTTTGGAGCATGGGCAGTGGGGGAGACGGGCCCACCAGGAGAAAACTGGGAACAGAAAGGACAGCCAGCGCATGGAGCAGGAGCCTGCAGAAGCCGCAGCTGTGCCCTTTAGATGGAGGTACTTGGGGGCGGCAGGGGAGAAGAGGACTTTGGTGGCCCCCAGGATAGCAAGACCACTAAACGCAGGAGCGAGGAGCCAGAACAGCTGAAAAAGGGGAGCCATTCAGAGGCCAGTGAGTCATCTCAAGAGACCTACGCAGGGCCCATCCCATGGGAAGTGTTTGGAGCATGGGCAGTGGGGGAGACGGGCCCACCAGGAGAAAACTGGGAACAGAAAGGACAGCCAATCTGCCCCCCAATCAGTGCAGGACCACTCAGAGGAGACTGGTCGGGAATGCAGAATTGCATGGGGTGCAGTTTGATGAAAACACTCAGGCCCAGATCAGAATGTTTACACAACCCACGTGCACCGGGTGTCTGGAGAGCCAGAACTACCTATAAGGTCAACCATTGAACCCTGAGTTGCACAAAAAGCCTTCCCTAGGGAAACAGTAGCAAAGCAACAATTTACTCAACCACACAGTTCAAGTACTGGTTCCCACAGGAAGTTCCTCCATGTTAGGAGTAAGCATAGGACAAAAAGTTGGTTCTGGCCCAGGCACACCAGCAATGCCTTGGGGCCCACCATGGGACATGAGGCATGGAGCCAGGGCAGGACCCCCACCCACAACCACTCACAGGACCAGCACCTTGGGGCCCTACCCAGGAACCCAAGGATTGGAGACAGGGACCAGACCTCCTTCCCACAACCAGACACACTGCACCAGCACCTCAGGGCCCACCCAGGGTCTTGGGGCATAAAGAAGGGAACTGGACCCTCCTCCCACAACCAAGCACACTGTGCCAGTACCCCAGGGACCCAGGGCATGGAGAAGGGGACCGGACCCCACTCCCACAACCAGGCACATCTTGCCAGTGCCTCAGGGCCCATCCAGGGACCCAGGGCATGGAGAAGGGGACCAGACCCCATTCCCATAACCAGGCACACCACGCCAGAGCCTTGGGGCCCACCCAAGTTCCTGGGGTATGGAGCCAAGGACCAGACCCCCCCTTCCCACAACCAGGCTCACTGCGCCAGCGCCTCAGGGCCCCACCTAGGGGCCTGAGGCATGGAGAAGGGGACCAGACCCCCCCTCCCACAACCAGGCTCACTGCACCAGTGCCTTGGGACCCACTCAGGACCTGGGGCATGGAGAAAGGGACCAGACCCCTCTCCCACAACCAGGTACATCTCACCAGTGCCTCGGGGCCTGCCCAGGGACCTGGGGCATGGAGAAGGGGACCAGATCCCCCTCCTGCAACCAGGCTCACCACACCAGCACCTCAGGTCCCGCCCGGGGACTCAGGGTATGGAGCCGGGGATTGGACACTCTCCACAACCAGGCACACCACCAGCATCAAGGAGCATGTCAAAATCATCTCCTCCACGTGGGTGGCCCACCACAGCCACCATGATATCCATGGCTGCTGCGAAGGCAGATAGATGCCACAACCACCCCACGGATGGTCCACCAGCCACTGGAGCGCATTGACACAAGAGTCAACAGCAGAGATAAAGAAAGGAGGAGGATGTCTCTCTCCACAAAGCTCATTTCAGAGTGACAGAAGAGGCATCTGCTCTATGATTGTATTGGGAGACCTGATCACACCTCTCAGTATTGGACAGATCATTTGGGCAGCCAATCAACAGAGTAACCATTATTCTTTCAGAGGGAGAGAAGAAATCTAGGGTGACTAGGAGGGGGGGAGGGAGTGAAAGGGGGATGGGGAGGGATTGGACAAAGGGCATAAAGAATAATTACGATTTGTAACAATATATATGCTAGTAATATTGATTTGATCAACATATCTCAATGTTGAACCCCCAAAATATGTATAATCAATTTTGATTCAATAAAAATTAAAAAAAAAAAGAAAATGTAAACCACTGAAGAAATCATAACAGTATCCAATGAGTTAAAAGTCCTCCTGTCCCCATCGTAAGTAACATTCAGCCTCTTCAAGATAGTTCCAAATTATAATAATATTTAAAACACTCTTGTTGCTTATAGAAATATAGCCACCCAAATGCATACCAATATTCATACATATGGGTCACAGGAAAAAAACTTTATCTCAGTCTGAAAAAACTTTCAGAGTCATCATAGTCAGGAGTCTTACCTAAAAATGATGACAACAGGACTAAGAGTGTGTTGGTGTCTTCATCTCCAAAACATGACGAAGCATTAGTTATATTTTCACTGAAATTCCATAAAGTTTTACAAACCAAGCAGGCCAGCTGCCAATCAGTAGGACCAAAATCTCTTAAACAATCCACTAACCTGAGTTAATAAAAGTCAAATTGAGAAGTTATCAGGTCAGAATCTGTAATTTCTATATTTTTAGCATGATGATTATCTTTCTATGATATTTAATATTTATTATATATAACTCAGTGATCATGTTAAATAACTTCATATCTGAAAATTTTACTGGCTATAAAGTGGCAATAATCTACTTTTGAATTATTTTAAATGTTCAGTGGAACTTAAATCCCCTCTTTAGCCCTAGCTTGGGGCATCCAAATATTAAAATACATCTGCCCCACAGGAACGAGAGAGGGGCCCAAGCTCCCTAGAAAACTATGTCTTCTGAATCCTGAGGGCCAGGACTCTGTGCCTTGAAACTTACTTTTTAATGCCTCCTCCTTCTTTTAAGATGACACGCTTCTCTTTATCCACTGTGAGATTTAGGAGAACGCCACAGGCAGAAAAGCAAATATCCTGATGCTTAGCATCCAGCAGTGCAATCATGAACTTGTGTACTGGGAGGGCAGAGAACAAATGTAAACCAGTGAAACTCAGGGTTCCCAGCTGTACCTTGCTTTATAAATGGCAGTGGGGAAATGGGAATTGGCTTGCAAAACTGGAACTTCTGTTAGGGGACTTAACCCGTTCTTCCTAAGGCTTTATCCATCACTAGGCAGTGGGTTCCCCAACATCCATTACTCCCAAAAGTCAGCTCCTCCACTCCTCAGGTCCTCTGACCCAGGCAGCAGCCCCCTCTGTAGGGCAATGATAGAGCTCCTGCTGGTGGGAAGGAGGGAACACAGGTGACATTCATCTCTAATTTCTAGTTGTTCTCAAGGGCCTTTTGAACCTCCAGCAGCAACTCTCTTTAAATACACAGTCCTGGGGAGGGGAGTCGGCTCCTGGTGAAATCATCCCTGAAGTCTCCCAGGGCCACTGGAAGAGAAGACTGGTTCAGGCTGCTAGGAATCAATCTGTGGCAAAGCAGGGCTTCCAGCGTAGGGATGTCTCAGGGCGTAACAGGCTCCCACCTGGGGAATCATTTTCCCTTACTCCTAGAAATGAAACTGGGAACTATATTTGTCCTGTTTTCCCATTGCCCAGCAGGGGCTGAGCAAAGGGTTGGGGGTGAGTGGATAAGGTGTGTGCTCTGTCTCCTCCCGTTACTCACTGGGTTGGGAGGAGAGCTTGGCAAAGGCTACCTCACATGTGTGTATTCTTATGAGTCTAAAGAATGCACACCAAAATGTGAACGGTTATCTCTGGGATAGTGAGACAACAGGTGACAGTTTACTTCTGCTGCTGCTGCTACTTTGTATATCTGTATCATCTAAATTTTCTATCATGAACATAAATAATTACTTTTTTTTTTTTTTTTTTGTCTTTTGTCTTTTTCCATGTCCGGCAACGGATCGCAACCCTCAGTGTTGCCCCCGTACCGGACCGGGGACCGGCAACGGGATCGCAACCCTCGGTGTTGCTTCCTGCGCCTCGCTCAGCCAGTGAGCGGGAACCGGTCCGTATGTGGGATCCGACCCCCCGGGCGGGAGCGCCGCCGCGCCTCCCAAGCGGCGCACTATCCAGTGCACCACCAGGCCGGCCCTAAATAATTACTTTTTAAAAATTATTATTCTTATATAAAATATCTGAAGCATACAAAGAATATGGTTAGTAAAAACACTTGAGCACCTGCCACCCAGTTTAAGAAATAAAACATTACATTTAAAACAACACATTGTACACAATAAATATACAAGTCTAAGTATACATTATATGAAATGCTTGGGACCAGAAGTGTTCAGATTTCAAATTTTTTTTGGATTTTAGAATATTTACATTATACTTACTGGTTCAGCATCCCTAATCTGAAAATCCAAAATCCAGAATGCTCCAATGAGCATTTTCTTGGAGAGTCATGTCAGCACTCAAGAAGTTTCAGATTTGGGAGTATTTCAGATTTCAGATTTTCAGACTAGGGATACTTAACCTCTACACAATTCTTATTTTTCAGTTAAGTAAATAACTAAAACATTACAGATCCTATTTTATGTCTTTGGACATTGCTGTAGATTGAATATCCCCCTAAGACTCATTGAAAATTGATCTCCATTGTAACAGTGTTTAGAGGGTGGGAAATCCAATTATGGTATTTGAAAGGTGGGGCCTTAAAAAGGTGATTAGATTGTGAGGACTGTGTCCTCATGAACAGAATGATTCATTCACAGAGTAATGGGTATGGTTCTGATGGTTTTATAAGGAGGGCAATTGAGAAGGTTAGCTTTCTCTTGCTTAACCCATTCTAACCATATGACACCCTCCATTGCTGTGGAGAGTCACCGCCAAGAAAAAGGCCCTCACCAGATGTGTTCCCTTGACCTTGGACTTCCCAGCCTCCAAAACAATAAGAAATAAACTTCATTTCTTCATAAATTACCCAGTTTCAGGTATTCTGTTATAAGCAATAAAAATCGACTAATACAGACATACCTTCCCCTCCAAAGGTATCTTAAATGTAGAATTTTATCATTTCCAAATATCATTTATACTTTATGCCATTACTACATGAATACATATACATAAATACCCAAGGGAGTTTTGCATGTTTTAAAACTTATATTGGTAGGGCCGGCCCGTGGCTCACTCGGTAGAGTGCGGTGCTGATAACACCAAGGCCACGGGTTCGGATCCCACA